GATACTGAAGAAATGAGTGGGACCTTGGGAGTCACTTCAAAGACTTCTCCAAGTAGTAAATTATGACAATTTAGGAGATTTGCCTTATCTCCATGATGACATTTATAGTAGGAGTGAGACAGCAGGAGTGAGATGCCTGCAGCTGCAGTCTCTATCTACTAAACTGGGGTTGGAGCCAGGTGTCCTCATCTGTGGCCTTGTCTTGCCCTTCGAGGTATCTCTGGCATCACAGGCCAGAGCCAGCTCTCAGCCAGGACCAGTGATTCACGGAGGTTCATTTACTATCAATCAGCTCCTGTCGCCAGGCAAGGGGCCTAGGCCTAAGCAGGTAAACATAGAAAGCCAATTAGTTAATTTCATTTTATTGTTTTTTAAGAGAAAAAAAAAAGCAAAACAGAAAAAAGGGTAAAAGAATACAGAATTTCAAAAAAAAACTAAGATCATTAGTTGATAAGTTATAGGTTATCTTGGAAGTAGTTGCTCAAGTCACAAAATCAAAGCATAAATACTGAACAATCAAACAATGAGGGTGTCAATTCTGTTTGATGAACTAACACAAATTTAATAGTTGTCTATCTCGCATATTTAAACTTACATACAGTTATATCCTTTAGAATACTTTCTTTCTGTTTCATTTCACAATATCTATTATGCATTTTGGATCTTATAACTCTTTCCGTTTTTTATTGTTATTTTTTATATTAGACTGTGGAGAAAAAGGAACATTTCTCCCCTGCTGGTGAGAATGTAGACTAGTGCAGCCACTATGGAAATCAGTATGGAGATTTCTCAGAACACTAGCATTGGAACCTCCATTCAATCCAGATATTTTCCTTCTGGGTATCTTCCCAGAAAAACTGAAAAGGTCATGTCACAGTGATACATAAGCACCTATGTTTATAGCAAAGCACAATTAGTAAGAGCTAAATCTTGGAAACAACCAAAATGCCTATCAACCACAGAATGGTTGAAAAAGATGTGGTATTTTTATACAATAGAATATTACTCAGCTATAAAAAATGGCAACAACTTGAGACTATCCTCATAAATGAAATAAATCAGACTCACATTTGTAAATATCATATTGTCTCTATAGTACAATTAGTTAATTTTAAATCCTGCTCAGAGCTGCTTTGTAAGTGGTCTCCAACACTTGACTTATGATGGTATGAGTTATAAGCATTCACTTTATAATGGTGTGAAAGTGATACATATAGGCATAAATTGTACTTTAGATTTTAATGTTTATTGGTGAAGAGTGATAAGCATTGTATTTCTCTCATCATGATGGTGAGCTACAAGCTCCAGTCAACACTATGATTATGTGAATAAACAAGCAATAGTCCACAGTGTGGTGTGTTGCTAAGTGAGGTATTGACTAAGACATAATTCCATGAATTCAAGAGCATTTGTGTGTATCAAAGGTGTATAATGTGTTCTTTTCCTACACATATTTCTAGTTAAATGATTATTTTAGTCAAGTTCATAATCATACCCATAACTTCACATAGTCCCTTTTGTGCTTGATAAGAGCAACTAAAATTTATTCTACAAGCACATTTCCAGCATATGATATAATTTTATTAACCACAGTACTCCTGCTGTACATTAGATCTCTAATCCTATCTATCGTATAAAACAGAATCGGTACTCTTTGACTTTCTTCTCTATTTCATTCTCCTAATTTACCCTGTAAATTAGTAAATATTATCTTACTTTCTTTTTCAATAGTTTCCCTTTTTTAGAATTCCTGAGGAATTGAAAGACACAGTGTTTTTGCTTCTGGGTCTCAGTGATTTCACCTGGCAGATCATTCTTGAGATTCATCCCAGTTGTTCACAAATGGTGGATTCTCCTTTTCATAGCCTGGATAGGATGCATTGTGTTTGAACCTCAAAACTCCTTTGTCCATTCATTTATCAATCAACTTCTCTTCGGTTATTTCTACATCCTGGCTATTTGACAAATGTGGCAACGAACCTAGAAGAAAATATATTTTACTAGGGTGCGCTGATTTCATTACCTCTGACTGTACAAACAGAAGAGGGATTACTGGCTTATATGCTAATTCCATATTTGAAAAAGCAAACTCGATATTCATTCACATAAAATCTATACCAATATACATTCCTATGAAGAGTGCTAGTACTTGTTACTTCTTGGGTTTTTGATAACAGGTGTATTGCACAGCTTTCCATTGCTGGGACAAAATGCTTGATATCCACAATTTAGGGCAGAAGGGGCTTAATTGTGATCACAGATTTGGAGGTGTCAGTCCATAGCCTGCTGGCTCCAAGAGAGAAATATTAAGGCAAAAGAGCATGGCAAAACAAAGTTATTCACTTTATGGCAGCTGGGTAGCAGAGAACAGGAAAAATGAGTTAGGGAAATAGAAAATGGTTGGGACAAGATAACCAGAAATCACATCTCCTTGAGTCAACCAGACACTCCTAGAACCCTGCTTCACTAATCCCTCAGGTCAATCAAAGTGACAGCCAATACAAATCTCCCCAGTAGCACCTTAGCAGGTTTGAGGTGATATCTGGTTATGCCATTAATTTACACTTATCTGATGATTAGAGAAGTGGTTGACACCCTTATTAGAATAATGTTAAGAAGTACTGTCCTCAGATATGGAGATATATCACATTTCAGGCCCAAGATATGCTATCATTATTCCCCAGTACTTGACCTCATCTTCTTCTAACTCTTTCTTATTCATCTGATAAAAAATATGCCTATAATATCTCAGTTTCCCCCTCTCAATTAACTTCTTAGTTCAAAGGTTTGCCTCTTCAAGATGAAAATAGATGAGAGGGGTATTAAAAATGATTGGAGGAATCAGCATTAAAATTCGTGGTTGGCTATAAATATCATTTGAAAATATATCAGCATATAATGGCTTTATTTCAAAAACAAATTTCAACTGTATTACTTAATTGGCTTTTTTCTTTTTAATGTATTGGTCATAGATAAAAAATGATTGCAGCAATTTTCTGTACTAAATATAAGGACTCTATGGTATTTTTTTCACCTAGAAAAGTAAAGATGCATGATTATGAACTGACTTAATCTTTACTTTTGAACATTCTCCGAAGTGACATGTTAGAGCTATTTTCTTTTTATTGTAGCAGAGAATTGAAAGACAAAAGATCAGTAATGATCCATCACAAGTGTGAGGAAAATCCAGTAATAAGAAAACTGTAATAAAATAAGTGTAAGAAAGATTGAAAATCTGGGTACATGGTTATAAAGATAAAATAAATGAGCTTGGGAAAGATAAGAGTTATTTATTTTAGTAAGCAAGAAATGGTCACAATATACAAGGTAAAATAGTAGTATACATAAAGGATTAAACTAAAGTTCAACTAACAAATAGAGGGTTTCTCCAAGGGAAAAAATAAGGAAGTAGAACAGAAATTGCAAAGATTATCATCATTCTGTGTCAAAGGAACAATAAAAGGCAGTCTGTAATGCTTTTCCAAAGAAGGTGTCATAAAGGTGTCCATTGAAGAACAAATGCTTAGTACAAAGAGCCTCTTCATTTGAACATTCATTGAACTTATCATTTTGTACTGTTTCCCAAGTAAATAATTATGAGCATTTTTTTCCTTGAATGAAATGTATTTCCTTCCACATTTCTTGAAACAATTAGGTTTGAAATGCACACAGATCAAAATAAATATTTTTAAGCCATATTTGGTCAAAATGGCAATTTGATATATGGTTGCTACATTTTCCAATTTTAGACATTATATTTAATATAATTGGAAAATGTCATTTTATTTAGTGTAGAATACAATGTGACTTTCTATTGCAAAGAATGGATTTTGATAAATTTTGCCAAGGTTTTTAAAGGACACTTTAAAAATATAAACAATTCTTGGGTCACAAGACATATATGTCTGTATTGATGAAATATCACTTTCCCAAATCCAGTGAAAAATAATATTCATACAAATAAATGTAATTGTCTTCATGATCAATATATTTTACTGTTGAAGAGAGAAGTGCTTCCCCAAAGATGTATTATCCTCAGTTTTGAGAACAAAAATGATGATCTATTCTTCTATACATTATTATAGACTAGAAAAGAGAACAGTCAGTCAATGGAATGCTACGACTAGATAGCCAGAGTGGCCATGTGCTAAGGCTTTCTTAGGGAATTGTCATTTAAAGGTACTGACAACCTATAAGAGACTGTATTGTTGTGTTTTAATGATAACATGTAATTTTGATTAATAGAATAGAAACTTTCAATATATTCATAGTATTCTGCAAGATCTGCTTCATTATTAAATATGAAAAGTAAAAGACATTATTTGATCATTTCTCAAGTATTTAAAATACTTATTTTAATTAACAAGGTACTGTTCTTCAAAAACACTTATACTAATGAGTATTATTCTAATCCTGGGACTCAAATTAGTGATCTGTTAAAACCAACCCATGATCATTCATTACTCTTAGAAGCTGTTTGGTCCTTCATACAATTCTTAAACAATTCATTTTTTCTTAGATTGTATTTACACTATCATGATCTGGTTTATGTTACTTTTATTTATTTGCTTACTTTTTTTTGGCTTTTTGATACAAGATCTCGCTATGCAGTTTAGGTTGGTGTTGTGCTCACTTTGTAGCCCAGGCTGGTCTCCAATTTGCGATGATTTTCCTGCCTCAGCATCCTGCGTGCTGGGATTATAGGTGTGCACCAACATGCCCAGCTGGATTGTTTCTTGATATTTCTCCATATATTCCATCACTGTGAAACCATATCTTCCCTCCAGAATTTGGCCAGTACCCTAATTTTCTCTATAACCTTAAATTCTTGTCCGTATTGTCCCACTAATTATGTTCCTAATTTAGAAGTACTTTCTGCTGACAATCGCCTCATAATAAAAAAAAAATCAAAACCTTATAATTCACTAATTACAATGATTTGTTCCCAAGTGTTTTACTTTTTTATATTACTGTTGGATGCTTTTCAAATAGAACTAGAAGTGCTCGCTTAGGCAGCACATATGCTAAAATTAGAACAACATAGAAAAGATTAGCATGGCCCCTGAGCAAGGATGACATGCAAATTCATGAAGCATTCCATATTTTTGTGAGGATTAAGATGTTTTTAAAATCTTGACTACCTTGAACATGCTAATAAACATATTTTTTCTGCCTCTTGAAAAAAAAAAAAAAAAACAAATAGAACCAGAAAAGGCATTTTATTTGTCACATTGTCTTTGGTTACACTTGAACAATATCTTTCAGCCTACTGTATAATATTGTACTCGAATAACACCAGCAGAGAATGTGTGTTTGACAGAGACAGCTATGGATACAATACACATGATGTCAGATGTAGAAATGAATTTTAGGGTCTTCTCAGAAGCAAAAATGAAGCATACTAAAGTTAAATTTTTGGGTTAATACTATCTTCTCCTGAAGAAAAAAATATACTAAATTGAGATAGTATTAATACTAAATTCTCCTGAAGAAAAACAAAAATGGATGTCTATTTGCTTGGAATTTAAACTGAAACTATGAAATATTACTAAATAAAATTCCACTTCCATAAAAATGCAGGTATGATGGGAAAGAAAAAAATGGCATTTTGGAGAGTATTCCAACTGTAAAAGATCTATTTCTATGAAGATGGATATTTTTACTTGCATATTAAAGGAATGTTTGTTTTTATGGAATAATACACTCTATTAATTGTTATAACTACTCATTTTTAAAAAAAATTATCATACATGAATAGATTATAGTTGTATATATTTCTGCAGGATGAAGTAGTGCTACCTTTTTAATGTAATAGATGATGATTACATAGGTAATTCATACATGTGTCACTTCAAATATTTAACTTTTTATGACCAGTGCAATGGTAGTGTACTGCATTAGTGATATTCAGATATGCTGCAGTCATACTCAATTATTAGCTGTATTCAGCACACTGTGCTTCTGTTCTCAAGCACAAATGTTAAACCTATTCTTATTTGAGTCTCTGTACCCTTCTATAACCCTTTCCCTACTCCTGCTACCCGCATTCTCTGGTAATCACTATAATACTCTCTGCTTCTATGTGTTCAGTCGATTTAAATTCCTGACATAAGTGAAGCATGTGGTATTTGTTTTCTACTGTTATTTATTTGCTTATCATTCTGTTTTCTTTTTCTGCACACAGCTTTCCAAATAATGAACCGTATTCCATATCTATGTGAGCTGTGTTTTCCTCCCTTATCCTGTGACTGACACTCAGTCTGAATCCACACCTGCACTGCTGTGAACAGTGCTGCGATAAACATGGGAACGCAGATGTCTCTTCAGCATATTGAAGTACTTTAGAAAAGGACTCAGAACTGGAATGCTGGGCCATAAAGTAATTAGAAATGTCTCAAAAGAAGACACACAAGTGAGCAGCATATATATGGAAAATTGTTCAATGTAATTAACCATTAGGGAAACAAAAGTGAAAACTGCAATGGAGTACCATCTTATCCCAGTAAATAAGGGTGTTTTTGGATCCCTAGGAACCTCCACGAAGATTTTCCATAATGGGATTCCCAATTTATGTTTCCAACAGGGTGCAAATGTTCTATTTCTCATCATCTTAATGCCACTTGCTATTGTTTATCTGATTGACAGCAACCTCCTTAGTAGAGTGAAGTGATATTTCATTGTGGTGTTTGCATTTCCCTCACGATTAGTGCTGTTCATATATTTTCATAAATAATTTGGGCATCTGTATGTCTTCTTCCAAGAGATGTCTATTTTTCTTTGGGAATGTTTATTTGGAGCGTATTGCCTATTTAAATCAATTATTTGACTTTGAGATTTAGTTCCTGGAGGCTTTTACACACTTTAAATATTAAATATTTTTTCTATGCATCATGTTATGGTTTTATTACTTTCATTAATTCTGGAGATCAAACTCAGATCCTTGCACGTGCTAAGAAAGAGTGATTCACACACTGTCCCACACTACAACTTTTTGAGTAATTTAATGGTTGAGATCTTTGTTGTCAAAGACTATCAAGGTAGTATTCTAACATAGTTGTGTGAGTGTATAATATAGTTAAAATTTAGTAATTTATAGGTAAACCTAAGAGATAGTATTAAACTCCTCCTAGGAGTTACAAAATTAAAATTCAGATATATCAAAACTCTACCTTTACAGATTTCTTCCTATGATTTCTAACCTTCAGCCTGTCATTCCATTTATAAAGGTTCTATATATTTTTGAAAACCTGTCAATGCACTGTTCTGTAATTTTGGTTTTTATTTAATGTATTTGAAGGATAATATTATATCCAAGTACCATGCAAAACAAAAATATATCAGTTCAGCTGCCTTTCACAAAATCTAGAAGTATAACCTATTCAACATTTTTCAGGCTGTTTCTACTGTAGATTAAAAAACTCCAGTGAACAAATAAATTATTCCAAGAAACATAAATTCACAGAGTCAGTAAAAAATGAGAGGTAAATGACAACATTGACAACTCAGAATGATTTATACTCTCCATTTTTTCTTTGGATGAAAATGATCAAAGGCTGCTTGAGAGAATCAGTTTCGTCGTATCTGTAGACCCTAATACTCACTAAGACTTTAGCTGTCACACACCGATCAGGGCTTGTATTCATGAGATAAAGATCACTTACCTAACTTTAGGACCAAGACACTCCAAACATGAATTCACGAAATATAATCAACAAAGTCGGGCTATAATTTCAGACACTAAATCTATGCAAAATGTTAGGAACAAACAAATATTTCAAACAAGGTTTTAAAATTTAGGATTACTGTAGAATTACATAAAAAACTGTATCAATATTTTGGGCTATTCACAGAATACTGAATAACTGAAATTTTGAAAGTTAATGTAGACTTGTTGTCTTTGTCCCTTGCTACTTTTACATATACTGTACATATTTATGGTACATGGCAGGATCACATAGTGAGGTTTCATTTGGTTACTAAGGCATAAATACATTTAAGCAATGGGTTTCATAGCATATATTTATTTTTAAAACCCATTATTGTATATTAGTTATATAAGGCTGAGAAAATAGTTTTTGGAAAAACTGTCAATTATCTAAAACTCATTTTTTGTTTTTACTTTCTGTCTTTGAGACAGGGTCTTGCTGAGCTGTTCAAGCGGGCCTTTGATTCACTTTGTAGCCCAGGCTGGTTTTGAACTTACAATGATCCTCCTGCCTCGACCTCCCAAGAGCTGGATTTCAGGAGTGCACCACCACACCACCACCATGACTAAATCACTGTATAAGAAACAAACTGAGGACAACTATATTGTTCCTTGGCAATGTAGAATTTAAAAATAAATATATTTTTTGTGACATACTAAAAGGAAAATAATATTATCCTATATACATCTTATATTTTATAATTATTGGCTGTAATATTCATGAAAAATATGTTTCCTGGAGTATCATATACTACCTTGGACATTTTATGAAAATGTATTTTGTATTAATATATACATGTATGTAAAACTTATATGAAAGTAATATACAAAGTCTAAATCAAATCTAATATTAAGTATATGTGTCACTAAAATTAACTCTTAAATCATGTGAGAAGAAAGTAAAACAGTTCCTTTTTTTTGGCCAGGATATTAGTACATCAGTGTGAAAGTCCAATGAAAATACTATTGAACATAGAACAATGTTCAAAAATATTTGCAGCTGCTGGTAGTGAAGTCCAGGTCTTCATGATGGCCCAAATTTAAGCCAGAATTTGGTACCATTAGGTGACAAATCTTCCTAAAAGTCTGGAGAACTGATGGGCCACAGCAGATTATGGTCTAATGGTATCAGGGGAAAAATCTGAGTTAAGAACTATTAAACCTTGTAATATCTCATAAAAGATGATTAAATACACACACACACATACTTCGTTTTCTGTATACTTCTTCTTTGAAGGTCTGTATGTGTGTGCTAGATACGGTATAATTACATGTTTAAGTACAGAATATGTTTAAATAAAGGACACATGTTTTAATGTAAAATATTTAAGTGTACATGTTTATAGAGACACCAATGTGCATCACGGTTACAATACTGTTGTGGTTCAGAGTCATGCTATATCTTTATAAGAATAATTTCAATAAGATATATAAAGAAAAGAAACAATATTAATTAAACTCAGCCAAATGGGAATGCTGAAATCTCATATGGAAAGCTATTATAAACTGAATGTTTGCTTACACTAAAATTCATATATTGAAATCCTAATCACTGATATGATGGTACGAAGACCTCGGGCCTTTGGGAGGTAGTTAGGTCCTGAGAAGGGAGACCTCATTAGTAGAATTGGTGTCTTTATTAAAAATACGAAGCAGCGTGACTGCTGGCTCTGTCTCTTCTCATTCTGGAAAGAGCACAAGGAGACATCATCTAACAAGCAGGAAGCAGACTCTTCTGAAGCGCCAGCCTGCCTGTTCTGTGGCTTCGATTTCTCAGTCTCCAGAACTCTGGGAAATACATTTCTGCTGCTCAAACCGCATGAATGGCAGTTTGTTATATCACCCCGAACGGACTCAGCAATGAGTTGACTTTACCCTGGGATTAAACCCATTCCTTTGTCACCACATTTCCTATCACTGAAATCATAAATACACAGTGATTCACGCTCTTCATTAGTTAAACAATTTTATAATTGCATTTTCTATATAAGGAAAAGCATCTAGTCAGACTACCAAATAATGATACAATAGAACATATTTATATTTAATCTGAGAATGCTATGAAAAATAATTCGTTTTAAATGTGTCTGAAAGAACGGGAGCAAAAGTTTACTTTCTTACTACCTATATACCCATGTCTAGCTATCTATTTATCTAGAGACAACCATGGAGAGAGAGAGAAACAGAGAGAGAGAGAGAGAGAGAGAGAGAGAGAGAGAGAGAGAGAGGAGAAGAGAAGAGAGGATAGAGATCTGCATCTGAATACCATAGCAGTCAATAATCCATTTAACATTTAGGTAAAAAAAAGTGAAAAGATCTGATTTTTAAAAAAAACAAGTTGGAATATTTTGTTAGCCTTAATCAGAAAGGTAAAGACAAAGTGTGGAAAATTTTGATAAGAA